CCCTTCTCCACAGTGTAGTCAGAGTAATCTTTTCAAATATACTTGTGTCAACCCACTTAAAGTACTCAAATGACTTTTCATTGTTCTCTGAAAGAAGATAACTTCTTGATTTTTTTTTTCTTTTTGAGACAGAGTCTCAAGCTGTCACCCTGGATAGAGTGCCATGGTGTCATAGCTTACAGCAGCCTCCAATTCCTGGGCTCAAGTGATCCTCTTGCCTCAGTTTTTTTATTTTCTATTTTTTTAGAGATGGGGTCTCACTTTTGCTCAGGCTGGTCTCAAACTCTTGGCTCAAGCAATCTACCCACTTTGGCCAAAAAATAGAAAAATTAGCTGGGTGTGATGGCAGGTGCCGGTAGACCCACTACTCAGGAGGCTGAGGCAGGAAGATTGCTTCAGCCCAAGAATTTGAGGTTACTGTGAGATAGGTGGAGCCATGGCACTCTAGCCTGGGCAAAAAAGTGAGATTCTGCTTCAAAAAAAAAAAGAGAGAAAGAAAAAAAAATTGGAAAATGGTGAAATTCTAACTCTATTATTCATTTTTTTTTTTAGTTGGTATACTATGATGTAACTGGTTACCCACTGGTATAGTTTGTATTGGAAAGATAGAATTAATTTATAATTGTCACCCTTTATTAGCTCTGAAAAATGAATTGGTGTTTCTTAGCATCTGTCAGTTGTGACCAGTTACCTTTTATTTTTATTTTTTAACTATGTATGAAGTAATGGATTGAAATGCAAGTGATATATTTAGGTACTTAGTTTGACAGAATGAGTGCATACAATACTTATTCCTTTTTTTTTTTCTTTTTGAGACAGAGTCTGAAGCTGTTGCCCTGGGTAGAATGCCATGGCATCATAACCTACAACCCAACCTCCAACTTGGGCTCAAGCAATCCTCTTGCCTCAATTTCTCTATTTTTAGTAGAGACAGAATTTCGCTTTTGCTCAAGCTGGTCTCTAACTCATGAGCTCAAGCTATCCACCCACCTAGACCTCCCAGAGTGCTAGAATTATAGGCATGAGCCACTGTACCTGGCCAAAATACTCATTCTTTGAAAATAATTTAAAATTATTAGGCACTGTTAGTATAGTTCTATGGAAGTGCCCCATGCATGCAAATGGGGCATATGATAATAAAATATTATTATAATGAGGGAAATGAGGAAGCAGGATAGATTTTTTTTTAAAAAACTGAAGTGATTTTTTTTTTTTTTGAGAC